CCCCCCCCCCCCCCCCCCCCCCCCCCCCCCCCCCCCCCCCCCCCCCCCCCCCCCCCCCCCCCCCCCCCCCCCCCCCCCCCCCCCCCCCCCCCCCCCCCCCCCCCCCCCCCCCCCCGAGCTGCAAAAATCTTGCTTTTAATCTTACACACCATTTTCTTCGAAAATATATGTGAGTTCCACCAAAGAGCCGCAACTCTCTCGAATGAAGTATACTGAAGAAAAATTTGTTCGCACTTCGATCATTATCAAAAAAAATCAATTTCAAGAAAAATGTAAAAGAATTTTTCTTGTCATAAAATCTACCAATTATTACTTAAAACAGATACGAAGCATTAGTATACTACATGTCAATCAAAACACTTATCGATGTACATCGAATAGTCCTCGTACGATCGGCATTACGACAGAAGGCACTATCTACTAATGTCTTTATAACCTTTATATTGTTGAACAACGTAATAAAGGCAGAAAAGTAATAAATTGCTTTTTTTTAGTCAGATAGTATCAAAGATTAATCATAAAACCCCCAAATCATTGCAAATGAAAATTATTTTTATAAATTTGCATACGAGGTAACTTAGGTAACAGGTCCATATGTTTATCTCAAAAGTCAGTTTTCGACGAAAATCGGAGTTTCTGAGGACGGAATTCCCTTAAATTGAACTGGAATTATCCGAATTAAAAAATTGACAACTCAACAAAAACTCATTAAAAATCAATGAGTAAACACTTAATTGATATTTAGTTCATTATTGAGATTATTGAAAGAACCGTTAAAGAATTCAGAAGAAGTAGATCAATCAGTTGAATTAAGCATTTTGAATTGTAAAATACCATAGATCTGATCACATTCATCAGTCTTTTATTCTAATGAATTTTCATTGAAAATTTCAAATCTGCCTTCGTGAATTTCGTTCACAAAATGAAATATATTTATAAATTCATTCTGAACTTTCGAGCAGAACACACAGAAGCAACTTGTACGAATAGAAAATGCAAACTTTTATTTGATAATAATCTAAATTTATGTTTAATTAGTTAAAAAGACGTTTAGAAAATCAGAATTGATTGCAAATGAATAATTTTTTACTTTTTAAAATAGAATATTATGCAAGTCGTGACGACTCAAACCTTCAGTTATCATTGACAAAGCCGTTCGAAAAAGGACTAAACGAAGTGACCGATATTCAATTTCGAAATATTACAAAACTTAAATTTGGATATTACTTTACTCGTACGATCTGTAAGTATCAATTTATTTATATTCGAATCTTTGATAAAGCATAATAAAATATTTTCTTTCACAATGCTCAACAGATGTCCCAGACATAACGAATTACTCAATATTTTGCCATAATATATGTTGGTTAGACTCAAAGTTAGGCAAAATAACTGAGTGCAATTTCGAGCATTTTCGTATACGTACACAAGGATTAAGTACTTTAAGCTATGCGACTGGATAAAGTCGTCTTTCTACCTTCGAAATATTTTGGTTTTTAGTGTTGAAATCAAACCAGTGTCGACTCTAAAGAACATTAGAAAGATTTATTTCTTAACATCTCTCGATCAATTGTGCGAGTCACATTGATATCTCTATATATAAGAATGACCAAAATGCTGTTCACTCCATAAAAAAGCACGGATGTATCTTAAAAAATTGATTAAGTAAGGTTGCGAAATAAAACATTGTAATATTGTCTGGTGGCACTGCCGGATTATTTTTAATAAGAAAACATGAAATATTACATCAGTAGAAAAATGGCATTCGTCATTTTTCCCTTCAGATAAAATGTGTTATAGAAATATTTTGCCCTCCAATTTTATGTAAAAATGCACTTATAAATGCTCGATCATCATGTCGTAACAGCGTTGAACGCATGTTTCGAATTAGTTCTATTCGAAATTCTTGTTGTGAAAACTATTTTCTCATTACGCTCAAAACAAATCGTTCAAACCGAGCACTGATACACATAGAAAGGTATTTCTTCCAGAACGATGTGGAATCATCGAAATTTGTCTTCTCTTTCAATATTTTCATATGAAACATAAAATGTATACCAGACAGTCGTGGAGCCGACGGACAAATCGTACATTTTCAAAATAATAACGATGTTTACGTCGGAAATTTGCTTTTATAGCATAGATGTAGAAGTTTCATGAAATGCCATCAAGGTTCGGGCAAAAAATAAAATCATTGGAAAAGAAAGATCTTATCTACATACGAGTCAAAATGTTGAAGAAACTTTGACTTTTAGTCAATAAAAAGTGTTTCGAAAGAGTTCAGTAGATTTGTTGGTATCTCTCATGTTTCACATCTAACATAAACAAAATCAGAAAAATATTCTTAGAAAGTACATTGTTTTCTTGTCCTACAGTCTTCTATTCACGATGTTTTACATTAACGAGGAGACCATCCTAGATGATACCCTCTGCTTTGACTTATTTATATCACATTCGATAGAGTATATTGAGATGGTAAAAATACTAAGAATATTTCCCCCGTGGCTCTTCTTTCTGAAGTTATCGTTGCTTTATTGAATTTTTCGACTCACTTCTAGGCAATTAGGGGGGGGGGTCAAAATAAGGCATTTTGACTTTTAGTTTTGCGCATTGGTACATTTAATAATCTTTAAGAATATCTTGAAAAATGCAGCCAAAAAGGTGTTTCGTTCTTGGGACATTGAATNAAGAAATCTCTTCGGTGGTCAAAGCGATGAAGACGAGAGAGAGAAAAAAAGAACATATAGCGAGAAACTCGCGCGAAATTAGAAACAAGACATGTGACGACACACGGTGCCGTCACAGGGGGGTCAAAATAAGGCATTTTGACTTATAGTTTTGCGCATTGGTACATTTAATAATCTTTAAGAATATCTTGAAAAATGCAGCCAAAAAGGTGTTTCGTTCTTGGGACATTGAATATCCAGAACATAGTCGCCTGTTACGAACAGGTCACAAAAACGAGTTGACTTGAAAATTCAATATCTCAAGGCTGAAACATTGTTTTGGCTGAAACTTTCAGGATATTCTAAAGGTTATTAAACCTATCAATATGCAAAATTTTAAGTCACAATAGAGCGTCACCTAGGGCAGTTCCATCGCTAGTTTTTGCCCGACGAATGCTCTTTTTATACGGATTTGCAGAGGGTTAAAACGAGAAACTTTTGACAAAATATTCAAGTCTAATCGTAAACAATAAAAATTAATAGAGATGTTGACACAACACTGACAAATTCTTTCTTTCTTGAATACCAGTTATTTATGGTTTTATTTTGACTTTCTTTGGAAATATTGATTAGAAAAATCTTTTTCGAATCATCAGGTAAAACAATTTGTCTATTGTTTAGCTCTTATTCTCGCAATCTATAGAACTATTAAATGAACGATTTAAATTAATATATTGTATGAAATTTGAAATCTAAAACATACTGACTAGAGGTGTCAGCTGTACGGCTGAGCCGCCGCAGCAGCCGATTTTTCAATAATATCAGCCGCCGCCGCCACCAAATTACTGGTAATTTTAAGAATTTTGCGGGAGCCGCCGCTGCGAAAAAACAAGTTTAGCCGTTGCGCCGCTGCAAGAGATAAAAATTTTTGATAGCGTTATTCGCCGCCGCTGACATCAATATATATGCGATCGAATCGAACATTTTTCTTTTAATTTTTATCACTGAATTTTTAACTGAGCCGCCGCCGTCACATAAGGTCTTGCAAATATCAGCCGACGCCGCCGCTGTGAAAAAAATTTAAGAATTTGTAGCAGCCGCCACTGAAGGCATTACTCGTTCAAATAACAAGCCGCTGGGAATCTTCAAAAATTGAAAATTGTTGCCCGCCGCCGCTGTTCAACCCTTCGGCTGACACCTCTAATACTGACTATAATAAATTACCTTTGTAGTTTGAAAATTATGGTTTTCACAAATAAAATATCAATACAAATTTTGTTTTAGATGCTTGTGATCAATCAATAGATCGAAATAAAGAACGTGCAAAAGTACTTGCTCAACTTCTTTCAATGCCTGTGCAGCTCAAATATCTTCTAATTGAAAATTTTCAATGGTTCTTGCATATCATTGAATATGTAAGCTTCTATTCTATCTGATTCTATCTTCTTAAATTATATCTATATTTAAATTTCTTTATATGAAAGCTGGTAGAATTCTCATCCAATAAAATTTTCTCAAAAGTCTGATTTTCGTGTTATCATATGAAATTTGCCACATATATCTGCTTTGAAAAAATTCCGTGAAAATACAAAAGACTCGCTAGAATTTCACAGTTGCTACTAGAAGGCAAATTTTCTCCAATACATTTTCTTCTCGATCAAATCAATATATTGGTGGATATAATGAAAGAGCCCTGAGGGCAGTCGTTCCTACTTCAAATTGTTTTGTCTCTCTCAGCAGAAAAGTCCCCAAATGACCACCTCTAATGGACTTCAAAACACGCTTTATGGTCATGATCGCCTCCATTTCCTGTCGACGCGGCCCTGCCTCCCCATCATCTTAAAAATTCTAGATCCGTCAATGAATCAAAGTTATATTAAGAACTATAAAAACTAGTAGTATTTTTATGACATAGTGAAGCCAATAAAGGACAGTAAACTCTATCATCTACTATTTTTGCCTTCAAAAAATAAAATTCTGCTCAGAATTTAAAAGCAAAGAAATTCAATAATGAAAGACAAACTAGTTCTACTGATATTTTTCAATTATGAACAGAATTCTCGAGGATGAAAAAGATCATGTCATGTTTAGTATTTTAAGTTCTGGGCTTTGCTAGACAAACATTCTGCAGTTGTCCTTTTTCTCTTATTTAAAATCTATCATATACTCTTTGGCCTAGTTTTATTTTTATTGTATATATTTGTTTTCGTATGTTACTTTTAGGCATCTAATCAATTAAAAAAGGACGCATTAATTACTGTTCGATATATTGAATTTGGTATTCCTAGTTGTCATCGTGGCTCAAATGAATCAGTTAATATTGGTAAACATCTTGTACCTGTTCTCAAGATGTATATGCCTAATTTACATACATTACGTCTTTGGCGACCAGATGATTTTCCGTGGACAACCAGTAAGTTTATTTGAATAAAAGAATATTAGTTTCAATAGTTTGACAGATATTTCTATGTCGCTGTGAATGAAAACCTTCTTTTATTGAGATTTCTGACAACAATTGTTTTAATATTGATTGAATATATGGTTGAATTCGTGGGATTTCGGTCGCTTTTGTGTAAAAAGCTTTTCTTACAAAGGAGGTAGAAACCCCACAGATACAGATTCATCCATATCTGAGTTAGTAAAGTCGCAATACATCAAAAGTAGATTTAGATGCATGAAAAATCCTTATTTTCTTCTCTTAAAATGTTCGAAACTGACAGAAAATAAACTTAATCTTACTGAAAGAACTTTGAAAAAAGTTTATCAATGTAGTTCTTAATGAAATGAAACATGGAGTTCACATATCTTCTTCTACTTGCTTACATTAATGTTAGAGTTCTGTGGGACAAACTTTTGCTTGTCTCGAATCCCGCTTATTCGATTCCATCTGGGTTTTTTCATTTGTTCCGGTTGTCACGTGTATTAGAAGAAATATAAAGAAATGGTTTCATTCAAGAATCATCCTCCTTTTATACAGGGCCAGTATAAAAAACGTGTCTTGATATATGATTATCAGACCAATTTTTTTAGTATATCTCGAGAAAGACACGTCTGTTTTCGCTGAAATTTTAGCGTACACTAAGGACCATGGGGCCTACAAAGAGGCATATTTTCGAGTCGAAATTTCCTCATTTGATTTTTTTGTAAATATCCTGCCACATGCCGAAAATCTATTAAAACGACGCTCATAACTCCGGAAGGAAGACATATGAACCCTTACCTTTTTGGTCTTTTTCTAGTCTCATTAGGCCCTTCTCATCGGTAAAATCTCACTTTAAAAGCTTTTAATCACCTGGGAGAGAGTTCTCTTGTTAGAGATCTACAATCAGGTCTAAGAACGAGTTTCAGCTGATCTTTGTCGAGTCGAGTTTGGACACGATCAGCAAATAATATCGGATTTGTTGGATTCGAACGCTCGTTTAGGAATATTTTTTTGTTCTTTAGTATAATAAATTGATGTCATTTTTGACTTTTATCCAAATATTGTGAGAGATCAATATTGTATATAGAAGTAATTTAATATAAGCTAACATTTTTTGTTAGAAAAAAAAAGAACTTTCTTGGATGCATACATCAGTTACGTGCCACATTTTGGTATCTCTTTGATAGAGAAGCTTCTCCAGATGTCAAGTTTTTAATCTCACAGTTATAGTAGGAATTATGTGACATAATAAAAAAAAGAAGCCATGAAATATGCATTAAAGGAATCGTCGAAATAATTCAATTGGATGAAGTGTCAAAAGCAACGTACTCATTCATGTTTCTTGTATCTGATTCTCTTTTTGAAAATTATAAAGAAAATAGATATGGTTATGTCAGTTCAGACAATTATTCAATTTTATTTTGTTCATTGAAGAGAAAAAACTTCGGCAATTTAATGCAGTTCATTTCATAAATGATGATAAATTTTCTTAATTCACTCAAAGTAAAAGTATTAATAATTGAGGATTTTTATCTTTTTCGTTACTATAGAGTGAACTTCATAGAGAGTATAGTTTCAATTCATTATTATGTATCATCCATCAAAAAGTGCACATAAAAAATTATGTCTAAAGTAGTCAAACTCATTTTAAGGAATAAACTCTAAGTAATCTTGTTCTTGTCGTTTGTTTGTACGATCATTGCAAATATCGATTAAATACTAATAAAAAAAAATAAATGTTGACAACGGTATTTATTATTTGTTTTCCTAGTTTTAATATTTTAATAATTCTTTCCTTGTCATTAGAGTATGCGAAAATAAAAGAACAGAACAAATTAATAATTCCAAATATTAATAAAATTTTGAATATAGTTATTATCTATTAGTTTCTACAATACAAATATCAGACAGAATGAACTGATCAAAAAATGAGACAATCTATGTTCAGTTCATTAGCTCTGAAAAACATTTAAATTCAGAAATATTTTATTGAAAGGATGAATTTATGTGATTTTTTTCTCAAGTTCGACCAAATTTTCCAGAAGGATATATTCATATGACTTTACCTCAACGATGGATGAAATCGTTAAAAACATCTGAATCGATCGGTACGTAAATGGAATAGATCCATCAATGGAAATAAATTCTTCTTTATTTAGCTCAGCACGTAACTATCTTTCAACAAGATCTTTGCCAATTAATCGAACAATTGAAGCAATTTGTCTTTCTTAACATTTACGGTTTAACTTCTTGTGAAAAAGTAGAAGCTTATCATTCAATGGTTAAAACTCGTTTTCCTAATAGTCGAAGTCATGTTGATATATCAAGATTTTCTCTTTGGCTTTGATTACCAATTCCATATTTGTCGTAATAAATGTACATTAGAGATGGCTATGTTGCTTGACTAATTATTTTTTTCTATTGATTGTGAGGGAATGTTCAATAAACTGAAAAATAGTTGTATAGAATAATTTAATGGCGGTGTATACGGTGTTTTGTTTATCTTTCAAAGCACTTATCGGCAACGAGATTAACAACCATTTCATTTGTTTCTCGAAATATCTGCATAACTATTAATAGAATCATATCCAGTGGCGAATCTAAGATTTTGATGAATGGGACACTTTGGTGAAGAGGGAACGATTATACCAAAACAAAAAAGTGTTTTGAAGTATATTTGTGACAAGATCGGCTCATTTCTGTGTCGTTCCTGCTGAGAAAAAACGAAAACAATTTTTGAAAAGAGGGTCGATCGTTCCCAACATCTCCATCTAAATCTGCCACCGCATACATTTATAAACTCACGATCTAGTTATGTCTGAATTGTAACTGTTTCGGTCGAACAAGACAGGTACCGTAGCGAATCGGCGCGCTGATTCTCGGCTGATGACAATTCTGCAATGTAGTCCAGGAAGAAATTTTAGTAGATAATGAAAAATGAAAATAAATATATGAACCAATGCGTCAAATCATAGAAAACAAGAATTTATAATTGAATCAATTTTCCCTAATACAATGTTGAAAAGCTGAAGATCACGAAATGTAGTAAATTTTCAAATTTCTTTGCTATTTATGAACTATGATAATCTCCACCTAAACTTATACGCCTATCTCTCACTAAAGAGACAATCATTTGATCCAATTTTTTACTCTAGATTAGGAGTGATAGTTTACTATTACTGATAAAAAGTGATCATTTTGCAAAAAGTAACAAGGTAATAACGTAATCAGATAATTACCAGCCATAAGTAATAAAGCAATATACAAAAACAGACAGTAGAAATGCTTGTAATCATACATTAGATATTTGTTTTCATACTATAATATTCTGACAGCGTTAGATTTTGTTTTACTAGCATAAATTATTTTTGATAGCAGGTGCGGCGAAGGAAATCGACTGCTTTTGATAGGCTATTTTCTCAAAGTACACCCCACCGAAAAGTCTTATTCTGAGGCTCAAAGATAGACAATGTTGTGCAGATATCATTGATATGTTCTATTTTAAATAAGAATCTACTGTTTCTTTGTAGCATTGAAATGACTGCATACCACAAAAGCATCAACTGCTCAACTATAAAATCAGAAACGCACCGAATTCCATTTTCGCCAAGTTAGATTGAGTTCGACATTTTTTTCTTGTAGTAGAAGATGTAGACTTTTTCCACGCCTCTAGTGATGTGTTGGATTTGATACGCTAAGTTGTTTCTCCTTCGAAAACTACAAAACATCAAACGGCTCTTTAGGTCCACGGAATCGAATATATATTTAGTGGTTTTCTAAAAAGTCGGCTTTGCCAAAGAACCCGTTTTTTGTATAAACAGGCGCCGAATTTCAACATTTACAAAATATTCTTCGTTGTACGAGTTGCTCTCTTTGTCTAACTAAATGACGAGGTTGCAAAGTTTCCTTTGGCATCAAAAGACGCCAAAAACTGATAATTAGACATATTTTGCACGCGGTTTTTTAAATAGTAAAACTTTGTATAAGAATTTGGTTTACTGTCAAAAACTCAAATACATTTTCTATTTTTCATAGTGTGTTTGGATAGCGATAGAAAAATGACTTAATGAATAATAGTGAAATTCTATGCCTGTGAAGCACTGAAAAGTTGATGTTTCTGCTGTATGTAGTAATTTCAATGCCACAATGAAACAGTAAACCATTATTTAAACAAAACAGAACATATCAATAACATCTGCACAAAATTCTCTATCTCTCAGTGTCAGAGTAAAATTTTCCACTCATGTGTAATTTGAGAAAACAGCCTATAAAAAACAGACGATTTTCTCTGATGCACATGTTATTTATGCATTTCCAATATAGTTAATATAGTTTCTGGGGTTTTTAGATGATCAATTATTGAAATAATACTCATCCAGAATGTGGAACCTTAGTTTAAATCTCGTGATGAAGTTTTCTTCATGTAAGCAAAAAAAGCGCTCTTCTCTGTCTTTCCTACTTTATACAATTTTCATCATTAATAATCTTGAATACATAGGTGCATACTGTTATGATTTGCATTGGAAACAATAGATCATATATTTCGTCCTTGTTCATGAACTTCTCATCTGTTTCTATTTCTCGTCTTTTCTGCTCAAAAGATAAAACTGTAAGAAAACCATCCGTTTTTCCATCGTTTTACTGGTCCGGTTACCGTCTCCCAATAATGAAATTTACCGTGGTACATCGCCGGTTTTGACGAATAACGCGGTTTGCCGCTAAGCACGATCCAGTATTTACGATACTGGTGGTGTTCTGCCGCCCGCATATATGCATAAAGGAACTGGACTCGTTTAATTCTTTGGATTGTCTCAAGAAGAATAGAAGTAAAGTTTAAGAACCAACCTTAACAAAAATATTAGGATTATATTTTAACATTTAGAAAAGATGAAAATGTGCGATATAAATAAAATCATCGAATAAAACAAAGATTCGAAGTTAATTGCACAAGGGGAAACAGCGGATTTGAAGTAGAAAAGTACGTCAAAAGTAGTTCAAAGTGGGTCAAAGTACATGCTTGCAAAGGCTAAAAATACTACTCAAGTAGTCGAAATAAGAACAAGTAGCTTTGCAACTTTGATGTAACTTCAAGTAAATTTCCAGTCGAAAAATTCGTCAAATTTTACCACTGAAAATAGCTCAAAGCTACTTCAAGTCCAAAGTCCGTCGTTTCCCCCTTGTAATTGCATCACATGTTTTCACTTAAAAAAATTAAAATGCAACCTCACAGAGGCGTACATATAAAAAAATCTCAAGAGACAGAAACTGATATTCTTTTTCCTATGCATTCAGCAGTTCTGAAGATATCTACAAAATAATATTTACCCTTTAAGTAATATTTATAGATCCTACTTTACCTGTTCATGTTATTATTGTCCTATTGGGTTTCATCTTTTGCAATACCCTTATTGGAGTAATCAATATTTACCTGTTACTGATGATTCACTTTATTACTTTTGAAATGTTTATTATTTATGATGAACTATTATATATTTAACCGATACGAAACAATATAAACCTGGATATCATCGAGACGGCAAACACGAATTAAATAGTGATAAAAAGTAATTAGAAAAAAAGTAATAAAAATGATTACCAATTATCGAGGTAACACTGACAACCATCTGGATCGTACTAGAGATAAAACTTATTGCGCTCTACAACTAACGATAACTTCGTGTCAACTTCCGGAATTAATATGTTTACGGCAAAGAAACTCCATCGACTCATTCAATCCTCAGCTATTATTATGAACAGCAGGTGTAAAATAAATGTAATGAATATTTTCAACTGTCTGCTCAGATCACTCACAATCTATCTCATTCCACAAAAATTTCATTACGTATTACACATTTGATATTACCATAGAATATATGATATTACTCGACAAAATCGAATAGCCAGTCCAATAGCGACTTTTCTTTTCTTTCTCTTTCACTCGTTTCAGAAGAAATCTTATTGCTCTATTCGAAATAGTGGGCTATACATATAGTTTCGAACAAAAGAAAATAAAACAAAAGAGACAAAATATCCTCCATGAAGTAGTTACTTTAACTTGCTACTACGAATCAATTTGCTTCTAACACACTATAGTATTTAAACCACTATTCAAAAAAATGTTTCCGAAACCCTATGGTGCGTTAAACCCATCGATGATATTTTATTTTAAATATTTTTCTTTTTCTTTATGTCTAGAACAAGCTCGAGTTCGTAGTGAAGGAACTGTTGATGATACATCGGACGTGAAACTTACGGGTGACGATAATGGTGGGTTTAATCGAGTGAACATATTTTATTTTAAATGCTTTTATTTTTCTTTATGTCTAGAACAAGCTCGAGTTCGTAGTGAAGGAGCTGTTGATGATACATCGGATGTGAAATTTACGGCTGATGGTTATGGTGAATTTTATTCATGGAAAAGTTTTCTCTCAGGAAGAATGTTTTTGTCTTTTTCGTTTTTTGTGCAGGGTGTGAAGATGATAGTGTACAGTTTGTTGAGAAAAAGTGTCAACGTAAAACAACAGCGGACATGTTCGGTAAGTTAGCTCTAGAAGAAAATGTGTCGGTCTGGGGTGAAATCAGTTTTTGGTGCTTTTATCCTTTGAAGATTCTGAAACGAATGTCGGAAAGTCTGTATGTGATAACGCAGCAGTTCGTTTGAACGGTTAGTTTCATTTAAATTGAGGAGCAGTTTCGAGTGATTTGTATTTAATATTGTAGAATTTATTGGACCTTCTCATGTTTTTGTTGACAAAAACCCACTTATTTCAACAACAACTATATCAACATTTGGTTTATCCACATGCTATTTCTATTTGATGTGTGGTCAGGGTTGCCAAATTCAAATTTTAGAAATCAGGAGTTCTTTTTGAAAAATCAGGATTTGATCAGGAGATTTTTACCGAAAAATCAGGTGGAAAATCAGGAGACTTTTTCTCGAAATCGGAAGGAAAACAAGACAGTGTCGCTTCGTTGTTTTTTTGAAAAAGCAAAGATTTTCATTGGCACACATGTTTGTAACTGTGCCTTTTACGAAGCGAGTAAGGGAAAGATGTGTCTTACTAATGAAAAGAAAGAAAAATGGAGAAAGATAATTACATCTAGGTTATTTTACTAGTCTTTGCGCAATTGTTTATTTAAAAACATAACAAAAAAGGTACAAATATGTTTCAAGAAATCATCAAACAATCAAAAGAAAACAGAGCAAACCGTTTCCTATGCTGTTCCTAGCACTTTTGCAGCACTACTATATTTTTCTGGCGAGTGAATTTGTTTTAACAGTTCTTTTTTCCATTTCAGATGCTTTTTATTTTAATTTTAAACTCGGCACCCATTAGAGCATTCTTTCATTCTACTACTATTATCATTTGCTCAAAATTTTCCATTACTGCAATTTAACTCATAATTAGCTGTATAACAGTCGTCACTTATCGGTCCAAATCATTTCGAAAAAAAGAAGTGCTTTTAGAAACAAAAGCCGAAGACGATTTCAAAACTCGGAACAAATCGAAATCTGCGAAATCTTTATATTACAAAAATGATGGAAATATTGTATAAATACACATGATGCAATCCAGTTTTTCGAAATCAAAAATTGAATTTTTTTCCAAAATAAAATCCTCTCGCACGATCAAACTTTCCGCGAATAGTCCTGATCCTGTGAAATTTCAAAAACTTGACCTTGATGCAGGTCGCACGAGACCCGGATTGCTACAGTTTTTATCTAGCGACCACAGTCCTCTTTTTTCTCACTTTTTTATTCATTAAAATGTCTGCGAAATCGAATTAGGAAAAGAATTAAAAGATCAGGAGAAATCAGGAGAAAATCTTCAAAATCAGCTCCTGAATTCAGGAGGATTCTCATCAGGAGAAAGGTTGAAAAACCAGGAGTCTACTGGTCAAATCAGGAGGTTTGGCAACCCTGTGTGTGGTACGCTTAATAACTGCCGTTTCAGTTATTTAAATCACAACGTTGATCCTTATGAAAAAGTGACGATAGCAGACACTCTATATTTCATATTACATGATATTGTAGTTGCTGTTAAGAAACAGTTCTCGGATACATGTGCCAATGTTATGGACAATTTAAATGATCTTTATTTTTTCGTGGGTGGTGGAGCCGTACTGACATCGGATATTGTGCGAAGTGCATGTTCATTACTACTCAATGCTGATCAGCAAACTTGTACTGTATTAAAACGAGAATTTGGTAGCAGAAGTATCAATACGTTATTTGACAAATTATTTAATCGGGTCACTATTCTGAAGGCCACTTCATTTATGTTATCAAATGAAGAGGAGTCTGTAGCTAGTGGTAAAATTTGTTTTAGATAAAGTTTAGAATACTTCTAACTAAACTTTGACATTTTAGATATGGCTATCAGTGAACAAACGAAAGTGGTCGACCCACCATCATATACAATTTTTTATAATTGTTTGTATGATGCTGGATATATAACTATCGATTTCGGACGCGAAAAGCTATTTAATATAGCATCTATGATGTTTTCGTTAAGATCACCATCAAACAATAACTTTGCTTGGATTATTGATTATGAAGGAATTAAAAACATAAAAGACAGCATTGGTAATCGACCAGAAGAACTGGCAAAACTGGAAAAAGCGCTATGTTTACTAGAAAATAGTTCTTTATTCGATCCATGACGACGGCCTTTAAATATTGAACACTAGACGTTTTTTTCGTTTTTTTCTTTATTAAAAAAAAAACTTTAAATGTTAACAAGATTTTATTATTCGAATGCAATCCTCAATATTCAACGTGAAAAGCAAATAAATATATATTCAGGTATATGTCTTGTTGACTAAATTGTTTTCGCATATTTACCACCTATTTCAATTTGCTCATGCGATCATAACAAGAATATTTTATTTGAACCTTATAACGAAAATAATCTAGTTAATGTAATATTTAAAAGTTTTCAGTGTTTATTATATTTTTCTTTCTCACGGAAAATAGCAAAATTGTTCAATACGACTTACGTTAATTATCAAAATTTTTTAGTGAAAATTTTAGTTATAACATGGCAGGTTTGAAATTAAATCCTCCAATGTAGGAAAACAAGCAATACAGATGTTTTCAAACGAATATAATACTGTTTATGTGAAAGATGATAATGCGTAACTGTTGAATTTTTATAAGAATGTCATATGGTTCACACGAATTCTTCTTGAAAAACTACGTTATCTTTGAAAACTTTTAGGTCCATTTTTACGAACAATATTTTCCAAATTAGAAAATATGTTACAAAATTCGTTATATGTTAATCTATTATTAACGGGTATTTTAGCACGATTAGCACATTATTCTCAACCATTATTACGCTCACTGTTACTCAATCATAGCCTAGTACTTGAAACCAATGTTAAATCACTTTTTCAAGTAAGAATTTTTTTAAAATTCTATTTGCATTTTCTTTATGTCTGAATTACAGATTCTTTCAAATCTCAAATCAAAACTCGAAACAATATCTCAAACATTTAATGATTTTAATAATCTAATTGAATTAGCACATGGTACATTATATCAAAGAGAAAACACTGCGAGAGTATGCACTTTTAGTTACTTAGAAGTCTGTTAAATGATTTGTTTTCTAAGGAATTTGATGAAACACAAAAACGAACATGTACACCGTCGCGAACACGATCAAAATCGACTGAACTAGATGAAGGTAAATAGATAAATATATTATCTATTTGTCGCTTTATTTCGATCTGAATATTTTTCACAGATGAAGAACGAGTTTTTTTCGAAACTCGACGAACACCTATAAAAGGTTTTTTTCTGCATGCAATTGTGTGTTTTAAAAATAATTGAACCCTATGTTTTTCTCTTTGTTCGCATGTTGACATATAGAAAAATTCCATTTTCTATTATGAATGTTAGTAAAAAGAAATTTTTTAATTTAGAACGTTCATCAAAACGAAGTCGTATATTAGACTTCTTTCGTGGTCGTGGTCGACCAGCTATTCCAGCAGATAAAAATTCAAATGATAATCAACAATTTCATATTTCTTTTATCGATCAAACATCGTTGAAGTAAATTTCCATAAGACAAAATAAACCTATAATCATGAATCTTCTTCATTAAGATTTATTAATATTCGCGATAATATTGTCACGCAGCCAATCAATGAATGGGATGATCCAAAAACTCGGAATATAGCTTATTGTGCTGTTATTTATAATGAATTTCTCAAAGAACTGGCTGCAATAACACTAGAACACAGTGTACAACAATTTGATGACGATCAAATATTTGATGATATATTACCGATATCATTAATGCTTTAATGAAAATTTATCCATGCATTTTATTTTTCGTTTGCTCATCATTCGAGTTTCTTTTTTCTATTTTTCTATCATCGGCAATAATCTGTTTGTAGTCGTTTGTGATGTGTCCTTCTTGTTTTCAATACTATAATAAGCATTTGGTCAATATTTTTGTTTTTCTATGTCATACAAATACTTTTTGATTTACTATGTGCATTGATTTCAATAGAAACCATTTTTTNTACATGAGAATTTCAAGATTTTCGTTGAGACACACTGAGGGTAATCAACTTTTCTAATTCAAGATATAAATTCACCTGAAAAAAGATGAATTACAAATAATGATTGATCTATTTTAGTCATCTGTCTAGATATCGATGTATTGCATTTGAGGTCATTCCTTGCTGAGAAAGATTAACTAATCTTCCTCAAAAGAAAACCTTGTGTGACTAAATAACAGTATCAATTAAACTGAAGCTAACTACTATAAATATAAGTATATGGCATGTATTTAATGTAATATCTAAAGCTATAGCAATCCATATCTAAAATATATTAATATTGCCTAACTTAATACAGTAGTATCTATTCTGGTGAAAGGATGCCGTTAAAAGAAATGTTTAATCTAATTTTGTGGGTGTGGGTTTCTGAAATATCGTAATTTTAGAGAAATCAAACTTCTTTTTCGTTTTTTTTTCTTCTTTTGATATTATTTTTGTTTCAGATAGTAGATTAAGCAATTTTCATAGGAATTTATTTGTAGCTGATTTCTTTCTTTCTTGTTTACTTTGATAGTTCATGTCAACATGCAGTACATAATTAAGTCTTTCCTGTTTAGTTTTCTGAAGAAAACTATCTTAATAAAGTATAAAAGTATACTTTTATGTTCAACGGAGCATTCTTTGAGACAAACAAGCTTTGATCTATTATCTTCACTTAATAAACTATGTCATATCGTTGGTTTTCCATCTGTAGTTTCAATTAAGAAAAATAAATTAATATTTGAAGAATCTACGGAAATTTTCAAATCAACAATTGAGATGCTTTTGATTTTTGTTTCATTGTTTTCTTTCGGAAACATTGCAATGTAAGCTGAAAAACTTGAATGTAACTTATCTATGAAAACTCTATCATATACATAAGATTTTTTCTTGATCGAGATAAATGTGAAATTTAATAAATCCTTGTTGTAAACAAAAACAGAATGAAATAAATTAAAACATGTTTATATTTCAGTGCTGGAACTGTTTTATTTTGTTCAAATTTCTATGCAATCTTTTGAAAAATCGCACACCAATTGCCATTATCATTGTATCCGTTAACAATTCGAATATTTGATATTTGATTCAATAAATTTTCAAGTTCAGTTTTAATAAAAACATGATAATATCTTAAATGCATCTTTGTTGATTTTACCCATGGTACGAGACAATCAGATCGTTGAAATTCAGTACGCGGTGTATGAACTATTAATTCATTTTTTGAATCATCATTTGTATCCATGGAAGACATTTCAGATAGACTTGGCTTTACATGTTTCCTGATATAAAAGATCCATTATATGCGACCGAGGCGCAATTCAATCGTTCCAATGCAATGTTTCCCATAAATGTAACGAAATTTCTCGATTTCCATGCACGCTGATAATTAATTTTGTCGAGTGCAAATGTAGAATTTGCATCTGTCGTCCCGAGATAGTCAGAATCATTGAATAGACCTAATGCTGTCAAGATAAGAGGTGGTAGTTGTCGATGAGCAATGCTAATGTAAAGACGTTGATCATTGGTGGTCATATGACTAAGAAGATCACTTGTTGCAACGACTCACGGCATATCAATACTTGGTGATAGATTACTTCCATAACCCAACTCATAATGGTATATGATATCGAATTAATATTCGAAGGATAGCCATTCTTCCGGAGTAAAAATCCCATGAAAATGCGAAGAACTTCGAATGATAGTCTCATATCCACACAGTGCTTGCATTGCCAATACATATATCGGTGAAATATAATGTTTAAGCCAAGTCTCCATTTGTTTGGCACCGGACGAAGTACGAAAATTGGAACAAGTTTTTGTCGGCGTTAAAGTATTAGCTCCTGGATCTCTATCTTCTGAAATGATAACCACTTTACCAATCGTTTCATGTCCACTAAAAAGTCCTGCGAATATTGCATCGGGGCTTCGCCTTGTTCCACTAGCATCTGATCCCCACACTTTGAAAGATTCGTTCTTTGTTACAGGCATTAAATCTGGATATCGACATGAGAGACGAATACCTGCACTAAATGCCTCGAGATATCCAAATTTAGACAATTTTGCGACTTGTTGCTCACTGTTCGTAATGTGTGATGTCCAATGAGTTAAGAAAGCTAAGTCTTCCGCATTGGAAAAGTCGACGGAATCAGCCGCGTTCTTGAGAAGTTGCAAAAATGGTTCGATAGTCAGCTCATAATCATTATCATTTACGTAAACAGAACCATGACAAATCTGATAAACAGTTTTGTCGACTCTGCAACCTTCAGAAGAGTCAGGACTTAATTCCTCAGAATTATATTGAAAGTACGGAGAGATAGCAGTAAGATGATGAAGTACGTTGAACTTGTAAGAGTCATAAGTTGAACCAGGTGATATGGTCCATGAATTATAAATAGGAATGGTATATACTTTGCTAATAAAAGCAATTAAAAGCAACAATACTGAAGACATTCAATGAGCTTAATGACAATATTCTTTTTAGAATCGATTTATTCGTGGAATGACAGTGAATAGAAAGATGTAGCGAGTGATAGTGTGTATGAAGCGAAGCAGATATCTGATCATGTGCACAAAAATGAATATTTGTCTTTCTTAATCTTGTACCATAATCTATCTAAGCTAAATGGTATTGTCCTATTTCAATCAATGGTAATCGCAAAAAAAGAAGTAATAACATCGGTGTATTGTATTTAATCACTCTAGCTTTTTCGTGTAAGTAAAATCAAAATTTCTTATTCTCTTTTCTTATTTTTGGTAGACAGGAGATTTGTAATTTGTTCAATCGACGTGAAGTTAGCACGATGAGCAGCTACCACGGCAGATTTAGGTAAGTTCTGAATCCTAAACGATGGCACCGAATGACATAAGACCTGCATGAGAGTGTAGGATGTGACCTTACAACCACCGTCATGCAGGTTCTATGCCTTTCGGTCTTACCGTTGGGAAATCCAAACACACCTAAATCCATCGTGGTTGTTCCTCATCGTGCTAGCGTCACATCAATAGAGACTTTTTTTTATTAATGATTTATTCATTTTTTTTTCTTCGAATGTTTTAGTATTTGTTTAATCAGTAATAATATATAATTTATTTGTGCATCGATTTTAGTCAAAAATGACATTTTATAGAAAAACAAAAGAAAAATTGCAAATTGTATTTATAATTAGCATTAATACATAGGTTCATCTATATGATAGTTTACAAAAAAAAGATTCTGAAATTTTTTGTAAAATAAAAGATTATCGGAAAAGTCATAATATAACTATCGTATGGGTATCTTTTTCCAGAATCAAAGATAAGTATTATGTAAACGTTGTTTGTACTAAAAAGATCAGATTTTTGCATTGAACACTCCGTTTCGTATTGTTTCACAAAACGATTATTTCAGCGTATTGAAACACCGTTCTTCGAAACAATTTGGGTCAAAAATGTGTCATTCGTATTGAATGACATGAAAAAATATAATTTTCGCAGATATTTTGTTTTCGATATAAACTTGTTTCTACTAACATCTTAATACTAAAAGCATTTATTATAGCTAATGACTGCTACCAAAACATGTCATGGCAATTTTTAAACAATGTCTCTCTTCGTATACTTCTATTTGTCTAGCAATGTCATTGTCGGACATATCGACTGTCTTTATACATTTTAATATACTTTGATACCATTTATATAGTCTTATGTTTCTTTAAGTGGAACTCCTTTCTCAACTATTAGACATAGATGTTTAACCACACGATTCAGTTGGCTAAGGTTGATTTTTTTGCTTTTTCTGTCAAGTTTGACTGCGGCGAAATAAGTTTATCACATAATATATAGAAATATCATATGGAGCAATTACATGATCTATTCTTATAGTCGGCTCAGCACCAACTCTATTAGCTTAGTTTCAGAGGGTACAGGAGTTAATAATAATTCGTTGTTTCTTCAAGATGTTGAATCTGTTTTCTCTATTAATCTAGATAAATAAAGTTTTCCTACACCTATATTATCGATAATTTGTTCTCAAAGATGTTTTATTATCTCATTATTTTGTTAGTACGTAATCTATAATAACAGTTTGAGTAAATAAATGACAAATGTTTTTGTTATTTATCATAATAATTTATCAAGTTTTTTATGTCCCATTTGTGCCGATATTGATGGCACGCTTCGATGATTCTCCTTCCTTCTCTTTCTGTTCTCTTTCCGTTGGTCTAATATGTTTCTTCTCTCTCTCTCTTCTCTCTCTCTCCTATATATACGGGTGTTATGTAAGAAGCTGTGACACTCTGGATATGTAAAGAAGCAAATAAACATCATTGCCGAGAGTGGCGGTAAGCTATTCCACTCTATCCAGTTTGTCTGAACATATAGACCCAAGCAGGGTCCATTTTGATCGTTACGCCATTAAAATATAAATACTTAATGAGCTCTTCAATGATTTATTTTTAAAGTTCTTTCTATCTAGGTTTTGAGTTCATCATTGTTATCACTTCTTTTTTCGAATTTAATTCAATAAATACTCTTTAAACTATATAATTAATGCGATGCGAAGCAGAAGCATTTATGTAGTCCGTCGCGAGTTTTTTTTATTTTTTTTAATGCGATGCGAAGCAGAAGCATTTATGTTGTCCGTTGCGAGTTTTTTTTAATGCGATGCGAAGCAGAAGCATTTCTGTAGTCCGTCGCGAGTTTTTNATAATTAAAGTGACGTCATCAACATATGTTAGCCACTATAGTCTCTTCATTTACAGCTGATCTAAGATAATGAATCATGGAGATAATTAATCGATCAATCGAAATCGACCCTTAAGAATGTATCGCTACGTAAGAATAGAGTTTTCTCAGTGATGAATTTCATCATGTCGACATAAAAAGTATTCAAGATTTCACTGAATTGAAGATTTTTTGTCAAGATCCAATTTGAGCCTCACATCGCATTTCGTATTCGAGTAAAACTTGAATACCATCTAGTTTCATTTATTTTTCTAGAATATATACGTTAAACATGATTAAAGTAAAATTTCCTTTTTGATTTAATGATAACGATTGAATCTATAACAGATTAGATTATAAAAAACAACACAATTTGTTACTATTATTCATAATAATGTGTTAGAGAAACACGTTTGAAAATATCACTAATAAAGATGAGACAAGAAAACATTTCGTTTTGATCTGTAGATTGAAAAATCTTTGACAAACTTTTTTTCTCGTTTTATTTAGATTATCTATTGAAGAGCAAAATTTAAGAGGACGACTGAATCTTTAAAAGATTTTATTAAATACATTTGTAAAGTGAAACACTTCAATGAAATTTTTTATTGTGTGTTAATTGTGTCAAACATTTCAATGAGTAAAACAAAATAAGTTATAGATAAGATTTATGACATTTTAGGATATTATGAAAATGGCATTGATGATGAATGAGGATGCATGCATTTAACGCATTTCACTACAAAAATAAAATTTACACAACCAACAGCATTTTTTTAAAGGTTCATAATCGAATAATCTCGATTAATAATCAGTTATCTTTTGAATTTATTTCGCTTTCATTTCATCTGTACTCAAATATTGGTAGAGTTTTTTCTTAACAAGTTTGTTGATTATCCTTATCATAGAATCACCTACAATCAAATCTTATCAACGATAACAGGAAATTCAATTTAAAATAAAATAGATTGAACATTTTTCATTACTGTCAAATCAAGTTTAGCTTTGAAATGCTAATATTTGACATAAAAGTATTTGCTGATATATATCAGGACATTTGTCGATTGATAACGACATGATCAAACGCTAATCATGTTACTTAATTCTGTTTTTTAATTTTCGTAGTGTGCTTGACACCTATCGATTCAAATGACCATTGGTCCATTGTATCGCTTTGTATTGCTACTTTTCTTTTTCTCATCTTTATTCTGTGAACAACGGCGAAGTTTAGTTCACCACTTGTTCAATATGAAAGTAGGCTTAACTTGATTTTCATATTTTTAATATTGGTTTCTTGAAATTTTTCTGTACCTGCGCGTGTGTAATTTGATATAGTGTGAAATGAATCTTTACTTCAGAGATTAATTTTCTGAAAAGTTTCAATACTCAAATGATTTTAGAATAAATAAAATGAGACCACAGCAGCAAGGGATCCTCTTGGTTGGTCCCCATTACCAATTAACTCAACTCGTCCCCCCTTAATTGACTCTCAATTCGTCCCCCACGAAATTCTTTCCTAGTTGATTGATTCTCAATTCGTCCCCTCAATTAGTCCATCACTGTCCAGAAACAATTAGAAACAAATATAAGAATAATAGCCATCAATAAGAAAATTGATTGCTGCATAGAGCACTCTGCATATATATATAATGTGCTTTCTTAGTAGTGTATTATTTTCACTACTGACATTTTCTACGCTCTGAGAAATGCTACTATTCACATCTTCAAATCGCGGTCAACCTATACTCAATTATAATTCTCATCAATATACGAAGAAGCGTGTACGCAAGACGAGCAACGAGTGGCGTTGTCGAGATCGTGGCTGTACTAGCACGATTTCTCTTTGTACAGTCGATGCTAAAGTTCTTCGTGAGCCCTCTACTCATACTTGTCAACAATCAGCTTCTGCCGGTAAATCTCTAGTCGACGAAGCAGTCGGCAATATGAAGAAACGTGCACGAGAGGAGACCACGCCGATTCCCAAAATCTATACACAAGAAATCGTTAAAGCTCGTATCAGTCATCCCGGTATAGCAACTGGCCTATTCTTCCCTACATTTGAAACTATTGATGCTTCACTTTATCGAAGTCGATCGAAGAACTATCCATCGTTACCGAAGTCACTGGCCGATCTCGTTCTTCCAGACGTTTGGCGACTCGCCAAGCACGGAGAACCCTTCTTGATCGTGGACGAACTGTATGGAAAAGATCGGCTGTTGATGTTTGCATCAGACTGGAGCCTCATCTTTCTTTCTCAGTGCGAGCAGTGGCAATCAGATGGCACATTCAGCATTCGCCCTCTCATTTTTGCCCAGGTCTACATTTTGTGTGGCTTCTCGAACGGCTTCATGATTCCGTGTGTATACTGTCTTACGACGAAGAAAGACGAGCAAGTTTACACGAAAATATTCGGCCATGTGATCTCGCTTGCTCGAAAGCTCAATCTCAATCTCCAACCACGGCGACTCACGATTGACTTTGAGATCGCAACTATGAACTCTTTCTGTCGTCTCTTTTCTACAGCCACTGTCACCGGCTGCCTTTTTCATTATGCTCAAAGTCTTTGGAGAAAAATCCAAGAACTCGGTCTCACTCGTCATCTTTCGCCTTCTACAGACAAGGAGAACACTGACATTTCACCAGAAGAGAAAAAACGCGCGGATCACTGGTTTCTTGCTGCTATTGGACTCGCCTTGATTCCTCCTGAACTGGTTGAGCGTACTTGGATGGAAGTTATGGACGAATATACTCCCGAGCACGCATCTGCAACCAAGTTCAACGATTACCTCATTTCTACATACGTTGACAGCAGCTCTGCGCGCTATCACACAAAAATCTGGAATGTTCACGAATTATTAGTCAACAAATTACCGCGCACGAATAACCACGTTGAGGGCCTTAATCGGCGACTCAAAAGTCAGTTCCCTGTGCATCCGCACATCTTCAACTTTATCGAATTATTGCGTGAAGAACACGAATACCAGCATCACAAGTCCGAAGAGTCGGAAGTTCACCTACGCAAACGAAAGAAGGTGAACGATGCTATTGACGAGAATCTTGAGCTCCTTCTTAATGACCATAAGGGTGGATTGATCACTGCTATGCAACTCGCGATTAAATACGGACGCGCATTGAAGACAAAACTAGTTAAATGATTTTTTTTCTTGTTCCTTTTTTTACTCTTGAATAAAACAGCTGATTGTTGAAAATCATCTGTTTATCAAATTAGTCACCTATTAGTACGAATTTTGTGGGGGACGAATTGAGAGTCAATTAGTGCAGAGGGGACGAATTGGGGACGAACCGAGAGTAATCCATCGAATTTGAAGTTCAATATCCAAATCAAGTGCGTCGAGAAAAAAAGTACAACTTAAACAGATATTATCTAAAAGACCAACATCATTATCAACGACAACAACAGAATGAGAACAAAAAAGTTTGGCATGAATAAATAGTGTTGATGATTTACATGAATGATTTTATATTTTATTTTTCATTTTTTGTTGACTTATTTGAAAGAAAATTAAAAAAAACATCGCCAATTTTTTTTGAAATGTAAATAGTAAAATTTATTGATTGATATAAGACAAATTAATATTCAATCTCAGTAGCAGAGATGGTGCGAAGAGACACAAACAAAAGGTGTACTTCTTCGGAAAACGAAAAAATCAGAGAAAGCTCTAGCGCCAGTTTCGAAAGCAGAGGATGTAATCTCCCATCATCCCCCAATCGCGTCGTCTCTGCCCAGCAGTACGACAGGCACTTGCTAATATCTAGATTTACCCAACAGCTAAAAATCTAAAATCTTCGAGAGAAATTTCTTTTTCCTTCTATTCCATGTGCAGCAAACTGTCTCATTCACGCAATAATAAATATAATCAATGATATTCGAAATATCCGTACTTTTTTTTGTTGCATTCTAGCCAAAATAATAAATGCAGATAAAATTATGATCGACATTGCTACCGTCATTCTTGTTGATAAATGAAAATAAAATGCTTATGTAAATCTAACAACCAATATTCGAATAATATGACTAGAAATGTTGCCAAGATTTTCACGAGTAAATTTTGGTAAAGGCATTGATATTGACCAAGGAAATCCCAAAATAGTGAAAGCAATGGTGATACACAAATTTTGTGTATTAAAATATTTACTGCATTTTTATGTGAAATAAAATATTCATCAAGCCAAGTATGTAATTCACTTATATTCTCCATGTTGCAGTAGGTAACAAAATAATATGAAACAAATATATGATGCTCGTTTATCTCGTAGATAAATACATAAATGTTAAATAAATTTTTATTTTTATTTTTATTTTAAAACAACTATTCATATTAAAAAAAATGTTTTCTATGCAATACAAACTTTGAAAAGCGCATTTTATTTAAACTTGTATTAAATATTTCAAGGCAAGAAATTGTGAACTTTTCATTAATGCTAACATGTACTGAGCAGAGATCCGTGCTTCATAATTAACATGTTAGTTTTCCCCAGATTTGTTCAATATAAGATAACCAATCAAATCGAAATGATAAAAGAAATTCTAATGATTTATTAACTAAATCTAGTAAATCATTTAATTATGTTAATCAACCACTTCCTAATGGCATTCGATATGGAAGAAACTCATGTAACGGTAAAAGTGGAAAAATTCTAATAATAAGTACTTTTATTATTAATAAATTGAAATAAAGTAACTTTTACTTACTACTTTTCACTTTTTCAACTTCCATAAGTACTTTTGATCTTTTAGAAATACTAAATAGTACTTTGTTCAGTTACCAAGTTTATCACATTAACTTATACACTTAATAAAGTACTTTTTAGTACTTCGAGTTTTCCAAGAAGTACTCAGAGTTTCTTTTGATACTCTGTAAAGTGCTTATTAGTGCCTTTTCTCAATGAAAAGTATAATATATCGATTTGATAGCTTTCTCAAGTATTTGTTTGTACTTTCAAATGCTTGCAAAGTAATAAAAAGTCTTTTTGTTATTTGTAGAAGGGTTTTAGTATTGGGTATAATCCCAAAGTATAATGAACTGACTGGATATTATTAAAAGCAATTGCTTGTGTTTTTAAGCTTTTCAATAGTAATCAGAAAATATTTCAATACGCTTAAAAGTATTTAATAGTGTTTTTATCAATCATCAAATATACTATATTCGTTTTTATACATTTTAAGCACTTTATTGATCGTGCCTCTTCCTTTCCAGGAACTGGCAGGCAGCAGTCTGAATGGATTGGGTGTGGGTGTGTGTATGAAGAAGTGTCCCATATCGCGCAAACCGATCGAAACCATCGGTTAGCCGGAATTTCTTGATCGGTTTGTGCGTGGAGTACCGAAGGAGATGAAAATCACAATCACACCCACACCCAACTTCCACTTTTCAGAGTCAACTCCAACTTTCTATGGATATCATATTTTTTTAAAAGATGAATATTTTGAACAGTTCTGGATAAAAAAAACTACTACAATATGTGTAGTCTTTTGCACTCTTTTCGTTCATGTGCTTTTGAATGAGTTCAAGTTCGATTTTAGCTTAAAAGTTTTGATTTCCTTAGATTTTGACCTTATGCACATTGCAGCTGTATTTTCTAGGCTCAACATTGGACCAAATTAATTTCAGTTAGCTTGCTTCTTACTTGATGTATAATGGTTGTATAGAATCGATATGATACTACCTTGATTTTAAGTTCAGCATCTTTGAAATATTCTCCAAAAATCTATGAGAGATGATAACGATGGTATCAGTTATACGCAGCTGATCAAAATTTTTACATATGGTCAGCAAGACCATGTACCAGAATTTTCAGAACGTATTGTTGGTGGACATGAATAAGGTCTCTTCATTCCATAATGAATTCTGAATAATAATGACTGCTTTCCATAATCATCAGCAAGTTTTGTATCAAGAATCAGTATCTCGTGGAGCTTCTGGATGGAAATATTGTGAATAGAATTCATAGTAAAAATGATACTGAAGAACAGACAAAAATATGACAACACTGACGTATTTCACAAATCTATACTTACATCCAGATTGGAGTAAAATTATTTTAAAAGAGAAAATGATCTTTGTAGCAGTTTTATATTCTATTTTTTCTTATTTATTTCCTAATGCTTTCTATCTTCTCAATTCTTATGAAAACTAATCGTTTTCTCGCCTCTAACGTGCTGTTATTTAGAAATAAAATTTTTAGTTTTCAAAAAGCAACCATAGAACAAAATGAATACGACATCAGACAAATGTATTGAGTCGTCAGTGACTCTTAGTTTTTGTTTAATCTAAATCCATCGATGACTTCTTTTATAAAACAGACAAACGATACTGAATACTGCAGACGTTTGGAAACAATGTAACAATTCATCGTTGTCACATTCAATATGAGAAATCTTTTTTAAAATTTTCACAGGTTTCTATTTGTATTTAATAGTGAATAATTACTAACTCGCATCTCTATACCACTTTTGAGGGCATGAGGTGTCTTGTTCTTCACTTATCTACAAACACCCACATCCACAGTCTTGCAAATTTTATTGTAAATTCTGTTTTTTTTTTATTTTAAAAATAAATATTTTGAAAAAAAAACAATTTTTATTTGATTCATTCTTTTTCAGTGTCAAAATATAGTAGAGAAATAACAAAAAAAAGTAAATTTATTTTTCATTTATACCATATAAAAGAAAAGAACAATTGACAAGGCTTATTCAATAGAAAATCGTTGAACACGATGATTATTATGATCGACAACATACAGATTCCCATGTCGATCGAAGGTCAAACAAACGGGACCGTAGAACTGATTTGAGCCTGTCCCTTTACCATTTCCATTCACAATTACAGTGCCTTGTTTTGCTCCTTGACTCCAACGCATTAAACGATGATTCCACGAGTCTGCCACATAGAGAGTACCCAACGTATCGACAAATAATCCGTTGGGACTATTTAATTGTGTCAAAGCATCCCCCTGACCTTGACCGCCAGCCACCACAATACCTTCTGTTGCACCTTTAATCCATTTCATTACACGATGGTTGTTGCGGTCTGACACGTAGACATTCTGTTGTCGATCAACAAAAAGATATCTTGGCTCGTTGAGTTGATTGAGACCAGTGCCTTCACCATTTCCACCAGCTACGAGAGTGCCATTCTTCTCTCCCAGTTCATATCGTCTTACCTCATGTTTTTTAGTGTCAGAAACGTAAATATATCTCTGATCATCCATAGCTAATCCAAAACAATTGATGTTATCGATGAGTATTTCACCTTGTGTTATGCCACTACGGCGAGACCATCGTACCACTCTTCGATTCCATCTATCACAAATGATGAGACTATCCGTCTCTTTGTCAATTAATACATCGGTTGGCTCATTCAATTGATTTAATCCATTTCCTTTGCCCTTGCCACCAGCAACAATTTGTCCATTCGTCAAATCGTCTTTTTTCCATTGGGTGATACGATGATTCGCGCAGTCAGCAATGACCACTGTTTGATCGTCATCAACGAAGAGAGAAAAAGGGTGGTTGAGTTGATTGGTGGCACTGCCTTTCCCGTGACCTCCAGCCACAGTCACTCCATTCTGTGCCCATGTGGCATTAGCAGGAATATTGGATATAACTACAAGAAAACGAAGAACAAAGGAAATCTTTCTCTCTTTCTTTTAATTGTTAGTACTAGAAAGACGAAATAGAAATCTTAGCTAATCTGATGGGTATGGCACGATGGAATCTGTTGCTAAAATAATTTCATTTTGGTATAAGGAAAAATTCCATAGAGAGCTTTTAGGAATTTACAATGATTCTTTAGAAATCGTAAAGAAATTCAATTGGTAAGTTAGACCTGAGAATGGTCAACGATACACTTTCTAGCAAAAGTCGTCGATTGAAAAACTGGAAAGTTCTTGCTAATAATCCTTATTGAACCAAAGGGAATGCTACATACAGTAAATCCCAACTGAGAAATTGTAAGGATTCGGTGTTTGAGTGTTTTGTTAATCCTTCACACCCACGCCACACCCACACCCACACCCAAATCATAATTTAAGTCCTCTTTTGTATTTTCGTACAATGAGTTCGATTTTACTTGTAAGTTCTGATAGAAACGTATCATCGAAACAGGTAAAATAAACAGTAATCGGAATGAAAAATATGAAGATTTTGAAAGAGAATCAATATCGATTTATTCTTTTCTAGATAAATGAAAACTCCGTAGTGAAAACATCAGCTTTGACACAATCGTAAAAATATTTTTTTTACAAAACGAAAATGGAATTAAATAAACAATAAATATGATCGATTTTCTATTCTACCATTTAAAAATAAGAAGACTACAACGTTGGACTGTTCTTCGCTCAAGCCGCTAGTATTTTTCTGTCTGCTTTTGATTAAATAATTTCTTGATGAAAGAAAATTTTAGAACAAAACATCAGTTGAACATGGTCAATAGCATTGTTTGTTGTTTCTAATTTCTTAGTTGACAGAGAAGTAGCTTGTGAAAAATGTTTCTCTATTCTAGTCTCTTCCTATCATTTGTGATTTTACCTTTCACTTTAAAATAGATCTTGCTGATAAATTCTGTAGGGTCTTCTCGAACGGTAGAATCAGGTGGATTGTTCAGTGTTGCTTTTAGTCTTTCTAGTTCTGCTGTCCATTGCGCTATGTCGGTGTCCACAAACTCATTATCATCAGAATTTTGACTAACTTTTGCATTAAAACTTGCCATTTGGATTTTTACAGTTGGAATAAAGTTTGCGACATGGGAGACCAATGCTTCTCTAGTTTCTTGTGCCATCTGTCTAATCTTTGCAATCGACTTCGTTTCCCATTCGTCAATATCTTTCAGTAAACCATGTTTTTTTTGTGAATCCCCTGTTTCTGTTTCGATTTCGTTGAGAAACTGATTGCATTCATCATTTAATCCATGCAATTTTATATTAAGATAATCCCGATGTTGCTTATGATGTGAGCCACAATAGAGTAATTCTGGACATCCCAAGCACATAATTTTCGGTTCTTTTTTACAACCTTCAATGCAACAAGACTGATTCGTTGGCATGTCTCGAGTAGTTGCAAGAATATCCCGGTAGTGATAAATGAAACGAAAAGGAAGAGATACGATGAATTTTATACTTAACAAATAAGTGACTCACTTTGGAGAATTATTTGCAAAATATGACGCAGAAGAAACAAATGTTTGCTTGAGTAACCTCCTACAGGCGACAACTTAACTATTTGACAAAGGAAAGGATCAAAAACTTTTCTTTAATCCTCAATAAATATCGTTGAATAATGTGTGCAAATGCTATAGCCAGTTTTCTTCTTACATTTTGTTATCTCTAAAAACTTTTTTCGAAGTTAAAATTGTCAGTCGATTCGAAGGCCAGCGTGTGCGGATTACAAGGGAGAAAACGCGACTACCGTAATCCCTTGTACTTCCCTTGTGCTCTCATTGTACTTCCTTGTACCTTCTGCGTACTCCCATCCAATAAAAACTAGATGCAACAACTTCACGAAATACTTAGAATAGCTGTTGGAATCAGTTTGGCAATAGGTTATCGAGGTCGAGGAACTCGAATCTGGCATCGGTTTTCAACAATTTTTGTGGAATAATTTTTTGATAAAAAAATATTTCTTTTGAGAAATAACGGGTGGGCCATAAAGAATGAGGGTCTCGATATTTCTTGCATATCTCGGTCAATTTTCATTCGTTCGTCCTAATTTTTTTTCAAAACATTCGTCGTTCAATTCTCTACAAAACCATCTACTTTTATTATCTCAAGTAATTTCCTCTATTTTGAGACAATCGATATAATCGATTAGTCCAAGATGAGCAACTTTCAAAGACAACATCTTGAGAAATTTTACGAACAGCACGTTTCAAAGCGGTGATTAGAGTTCTTTTAGATGTCACTGCATCCCAGTTGATCAGTTGAGCAAATTCGTTCCAAATGCAGTAATCCAATGGGTTCAAATCAGGACTGTTCGGAGGCCAATCGTTCGCACCAATGAATGATGGAAAGTGTTCGGCACACCATTCTTGTGATTTTGCATGGGTGTGTGGCTTTGCACCATCTTGTTGGAAGGTCCAATCATTCCCAAACGTGTCGTTGCCAAACTTGAGAGCAATTGGAAGCACCTCCTTTATGTACCTTTCATGATTGACTGTCCCATTCTCGAAAATCACTAAAGGTGATACACCTTTAGAACAAACTCCAAGCCAAACCATAACTTTTTGCGGAAATTTTCGTTTTTGCCGAATACCACCGTTGATATCGGCTTCTGAACGATTAGCCGCCCATATTCTGTCGTTTTGAGAGTTATAGACTCCATCAATGTCGAACATTTTCTCGTCTGAAAACAGAATATTCATAGTGTCTTCTTTTCGGAAATTTGTTCGTATCCAATTTGCAAACTTTATTCTTTTTTCTTTATGCTCATCAGTGAGCAATGGTTCTTTTTGTATCTTATATGCCTGAAGTTCTAGATCATTTTTGAGTATTCTCCGAATACTTGTTCGAGAAATACCCAATTCACGGGCTATTTTTCGAGAGGATACAGATCTTCGACGTTCCACTCGGTTTTTGATCTTTCGGATGGCTGCTTTGGTTCGGATTGTTCTCGGACGACCGGGTGATGTTGATAAATTGATACAGCCCGTATCACGAATGCTTTTGCACCACCGTTCTATTGTCTGAAGACTAATGGCACCGTTGAGATCTCGAAAAATCTTTGTCGGTCCATCACCATTTTCGTACTTTGAAAGTACGAGTTTTTGAAGGTCTTTACTTTTCATAATATTAAATAAAACTAATCTAATCCAATTCAAGAGAAAGTACCCAGTTTTGTAGAGAATTGAATGGTGATTCGTTCGAAAAAAAAATTAGAAAGAACGAATGAAAACTAACCGAGATATCCAAGAAATATCGAGACCCTCATTCTTTATGGCCCACCCGTTACATCATTTTCGATAAACTTCGACCAAAGGTTATCGAAGAAGGAGAGCTCGAATTCGGCGTTAGTTCTTCGAAACTTTCTACTGTATATATTTATTCTTTCCAGAAAATGTCTTATATTATTTTATTTTTCTTCTCACAGTCCACAGTACAATGTTTTTTTTATATAGAATGAATGATCCCATCAAAAAGATTAAATAATAATAAAGATAATTCTATATCCTTTTCTCGCATTGTCGACTAACCCTTTCGTGGTCACTTGTTTGTTGTTGGTCAGAGAACTGTATTAATTCAATCTTGTCGCTTTAGTCAAGGTTTTCCATAAATTATATCTACTTTTGTCGCTATAAACGTGCACGTCACACGATCTGATTCTCGGGCATGATAGTTTGGGTTAAGAGGCCTACTTGATTGTGGTCTAAATATCGACAAAAATTTGGTCTTGAAAGCGTTAACATGTAAAGGAAAGGAGAAGAAGTATATCTCCTGCTTCATTGCCATAAATTTTTTCCTCTTTTCAACATTCCATCAACTACATATTATTTTTAAAATACTTTTTTCCTGCTATTTTACTATCGCACTAATCGATAGTAATAGATTTTCATTTTGGTTTTGAAGCTAGAGTAACCGTTACAATTGTCGGTTATCTATTTGATATTGCTAAAGTTCGCCTTTTTCTATTCAAAAATCCTTCAAAATGTTTATTTAATAATCCCAAGAGTTATTTTGCATTAGCAATAACAAGTGGTATTGCCGGTTTTGCACAATATTTAGTTGTTCAACTGTTGAACTTGTTAGCATACGTTTACAAATACAAGGCATTGAACAACAAAGAAAATTGTTTGCTTTATCAGTCCATTTAATAAATACAGGTCTAATTGATTGCTTAAAAATATCTTATGAGAGACGAGTTGCTCGACATAATTTTTTCCATGGTTTATCAACGACATTTGCTGCTTATTTTTCAACTTGGATTTTTGTTTTTTTAAAACGTTTTCTTCAACAAGTAAAGTTGATATGCCTGTCTATTGAATCATATTGTATAGAAGAGTGGCAAGTGTCCATTCGAAGATTTTTACCATGTACACTCCGTGTTATTTGTATAAATGCATTATCAAAACCAATCTTTGCTACATAAACTAATCATTATAATGATAATAAGTCTATAGAATGAAAAATGATTAGTAAAACAAAATTAACAGCTATAAAAAAAAACAATTTCACCGCGATTGAATACTCCAAGACTACACGTGTAGAGCGAAAAAGAGACAAAAAAAACTAATTTACTTACATTTCGGACTCAAAATGTCATCAATATATCGTTTATGCTTTGTGCTCTAGAGTATAGAATTTTATCATTTTTGCATCACCCTTTGCAAATGTTACTAAAACTAAGAGCGTAGCCCTTTCAGATTGTTGAGTATTTTTTTGTACTAAGTTCACATTATCTTCACTAAATATCAAGAATGAATATTGAGACGATCATTGATTATTTTATTTTAAAAGTATTCGAAGGCGTAGACATGCCTCCTCATAAAAGACAAAGTTGATTAGCTGAATATATTTTGATACAAACTGTGTTCCAGTGCAAAAACTTAGCTCCACTTTAAGAATCTCTCAATATGTAATTATACTACTCGCATATTAATTATCTAAATAGTCAAAAGAAGATTCTAAACGTGCTCTCTCATTATTTCCGAGACGGTACAACTAAAATAATAAACTAGAGGATGTACAGCAACATATTAGCAGATAATATCATCTACAAAGTATAAATGAATAGAGGATTTCTTCAAAAACATTTATAATATATTCCAAAAGTAGATGAAATATAATATAAAATAGATGTATCGTGCTATTGCGTGAGATCTCTTTTTACGTAGAGGCTGTTGAGTCCCATTTAACAGCGAGCATGTCATTATCAAATATTAGCGCAAATGAAATCGATGCATTCGGTGAAATTTTGGCTACATTTGTAACTATTTGTTGCTACCTGATGATTATTCTTGGTTTAATCAGTCATTCATTGAGCATAGTTGTCTTTACACGTCGATCACTTCGTTCAAATCCATATTCGTGCTACTTTTTGGCAGCAACACTGAATGGTGTTTATGTTGTTACCATGAATATGCTTCTCTGGCCTCTTCAAGTCATGTATTAAATCAATATATATTAAGAATCATTGGTGATCTGCAGACTTTTAACATGGCTTTTTGTGTGGAATAGGTAATGGATGAGTTCTTGAGGGTGTTAATGACCTAATTTCTCTTTCATTTTCATAGAGCACAATATGCATGGAGTACTGTTCTATTTTCTATCGATCGGCAAATTTTTTTAGCTCAAACGTTTTCATTGCGAGACTATAATAAATTGAAGCCTAAAAATAATGAATTCGTAGTCTTCGTGTTGCTTATCGTGCTATTCCTCTTACAGCTCTAACCGTTGGTCTCACATATGTTCATGTGCTCATTTTTTTTCAACTGAACATTCAACAGCAATCATGCCTTCCGATGCAAGGCATTTTATCAACAGTTTTTTGGCGCGTGGCATCTTGCTGCATCCCGCTTACTTCCACCAATATTCGTGCTTTTATTTGGATTGTATACAGTTAGGAACATTCGTCAATCGATTAGGCACGTTACAACAAACAATAGTCAGAATCGAGTTCTACGGCATCCACTACGAAAAACAACAGATCGACAAATGGTTCAAATGATGCTGACTCAATCTATCGTATTTTTTTTCACAGGATCTCTACCTTCAGTCAATTTCCTCTATACGCCAATCAGATCAAATCAGACAGTAGATGCTCTACAAGCAACGAGAGACAACTTACTTTACGGCGTTACTGGCATTGCATCTCGTACAATCCCATGCCTGAGGTTTTATCTATTTACATTGTCAAGTAGATTATTTCGCCAGGAATTCATGAAACTGCTTCGTGGACAGTGTTAAATTTTACTAACAATTAATTGTACTATTTTCACTCGCGAAGACACTAATCGTATCGTTTTCAATGTTGAGTTTCGAATAATTAATCAAATAGTGAGCCCTAACATACATGTGTGTTCTGTTAAATATTGTTTTACAGTGTTGGCACAAGTTTTGATTGCATAATAATTGTTGCCTTGCACACACCACTCAAAGTAAAGACATTGACAAGTATGACTCAAATATGTTGGATAACCTCAATCGAAACTGATTAAAGAGCAAGTCCATTATATATTTGATAGATAAATATCGCGTCTTATATGTTGAAAAACTTAATATGACTACAGCCTTGTGGTGTATTTGAAAGAAAGTTTGCCTGAACTAATTTGATTTGCGACTCGGAAAATGTTTGTCCTGTAGGTCTTTAATGGTAGTGTGTGAGCACAGGTCTCAGAATCCTTTGTTAATGACATCGTCATACTAAGATTTCTGATTCAAATATTGATGAACCTTGCTCCTGACTGGTTTAAGATAAAGATAGTGAATTTTACTTAATCCAACGAATGTGAAAATGATTATTCTTACATATGGGATCTTTTTTCAAAATTTTTGTTTAAAAATAAAGAGCAGATGAAAACAAAACGTTCTTCTACTTGCAATCGAATTGAAATCCATATTATGATTAAGACAAGGGAATATTTCATGGTTTCAGTCAATAATAATGGTACAAATAAATGATTGAGTAACAATTGTTTTTATCTTTCATTCACTTCTTTTAGCTATTAGGTGGAATAATCAAGGTTTACTTTTATAATGCAAGGCTGATTAAAACGCTACAGTTATGAGTTGAGAACAATTTTTATATGATCATAGAGCGTCAACCTTTCTGGATGTGAGCGTGACTATGGCATGAATTTAGTCAGTTACACGTATTCCCACTTTCACTCTCACACCCTATTCATTTGTGCTCAGGCCAATGAAACTAAAAACATATATTGACTTCAAATATGTGTATGATCATTATTGAAGTAATATTGTTACCGCATATCAAGTGTTGTGAAAAAATTAGGAACAGTTCTCTATCACTAAATTGGTTTTCGAGTACAACTTGAAAAATTAATCTCAATATCTCATAAGAATACTTTCTCATTATTTTATTGAAAATTACTAAAACGTTTTCGAGAGCTTGCAGATAATAGGACATGGCTGCAGACCTGAGTTCGAATCTTTTCTTCAACTACACCAACATACACACCGTATGAATGGCAAGAAGCTATACATTCAGTCTCATACACTGTAAATGTTGTTTGATGTTGTGAAATATCCGAGAAAAAAGCTGAAGTAAAAAGAAAACTAATTTTCTTCTCATTTTTTTTCTATTCTTTACTCGTTGTATTGTAAAATAGCTTGTATTCAATTTTTCTTTTTCTTTTGCTTCGACATTAAACCATTGACTCCGAGTAAACATATATTCGATCAATGAAAAGGAAGTAGGTATGCAATTATACATCATAAGAGAAAAAAACATAATTTCAAGTCTTATACACATTCTTTCTTAAGTTACCGTTCAAAATAAAATCAAAAATAAACTGAGTAGGGTCGCATAAATTCAATTTTAGTTCACATCTCTAATTTAGTGATGCTTCGATCATAATTCTGATTGACCCTTACGGTCCCAAGCAGTTGACATTACTATAGCTTTATGTTTTATTTAAACACCACTGTGAACCTCCTCTGATATAATACATGGACCTAGTATAGTGATAGATAAATGAGAGTGTGGGTACGAATTGAGTGTACAATCATACCCGTCGGTAACCGGATTTGAATGGTACTTCATGTCCAATCAAGGCATGACCGAGTCAGCGTCCGTGTCCAATCCGACGGGCTTTGACCCGTACACATATTCACTTCTAACGTGCACATAAATAACTTAGCCGAAGAAAAATGTACATGTCAAATAAAAATTTCATTTTATTTAAGAACAAAATGTGTAAAATGATTGTAATTGAACCCACAACGATTAGCAACCATCTGAGCGTTGTTAAAAAAACTGTTGATATAATTATTCAAACATAACCGTCATTGGTCATATTAAACTAATTCTGCGAGAAATCTCAACGAACGATGTCGTTATCGAATGAAATGAAAATTGAAGATTTTATTATCATTTGGTTGGATGAAAACATGAATGAGCACAATGAATATTATCGAGATTCGATTATTCAACTTCGAACTATTGTAAATTCTTTAAAAACATTTAATGATAATAACCATTGCATAGATTTTCTTACTGACGTTATCAAATAATTTGGCTGAGATGTTAGTACCATTAATTAATGGTATATCCCATTTTGATTCTATATACATATTTTCTAATACCGTACTAGAAAATCAGCAATCGATAAAAAGCTGGGAGAAAATTCAACGTACTTATAATAATATCTCAAATCTTGTAAAGAAATTAAACAATGTGAACATGTCTTAACACCAATTAATATGATATCTGCATCTTCTAATGAAAGTCTCGATGAAATTTCTTGTTCATTTATGTATTCTCAGTTACTTAACAAAATTTTAATCTCAATTGAATATGATGAACAAACCAAAAGAAAATTTATTGATTTTCTTCATAATCGCTATGCTGACAATGAGCAGTGACTGGTTGCAATTAAACAATTTGAAAAAAACTATGAAAATCATTCAGCTACTTGGTGGTATACTAAGGAACAATTTATTTATGCCGTTCTTAACGCAGCCTTACGAATACCAGATGTTGACATTATCGTCAATATGGGTTTTTTCATCAAAGATCTGCATGAACAGATCAAAGAAATTTATATGCAAAAGAAAGAAACAGAAAAATTGACGCTTTATCGAGGCCAACGCATGTCAATCATTGATTTCGAAAAATTGAAAAATTATCAAGGTGGTCGTTTCTCATTCAATTGTTTTTTTTATCAACTAGTAGAGATCGTGATATATCCTTTCTTTTCGCTGATAGTGCTCGACAAAAATCGAATACAGTTGGGATTCTTTTTACTATTGAAATTGATCTATCAATTTCAACAATCCCTTACGCTTCATTAAAAGATATTAGTTATTACTCTAAAAAACAAAATGCAGAAGAAGAAATTCTATTTTCAATGCACACTATTTATCAAATTGGTCATATCAAGCAGATTGACAATAATTTCTGGGAAGTCAATCTTGTATTAACCAATGGTAATGATGTACAATTGAAACTTTTAACTGCTCACGCGCGAGAAGAGCTTGGAGGAACCGATGAAAAGCATGCACTTGTTCCATTACTTTTCAAAATGGGAGAACTCAAAAAAGCTGAAGAAATCGCTTTTGCATTAATTCAGTCAACGTCTGAATTAAATTTAAACGATACTATGTACTACAGTTTTTTTTATCTAGGACAGGTGAAATACGCTGTAGGTGATTATTCGACAGCGTTGTCGTACTTTGAGAAGGCTATAAGTATTGCAGAAATTTTTTTTTCATCATACCATTCAACTTTGGCAGTATTTTATAATGATATCGGTTTATGCTACAATTCAACAGATAATCATTCAGCTGCACTGTTGTACTACGAAAAAGCTTTGAATATTCAAGAAAATCATCCTATATCGAACCATTCTCATTTAGCTGCAACCTATATGAACACTGCTTTAGCGTATGTATCAATGGGGGATTATGCAAAAGCACTGTCCTTTTATGAAAAGGCAAAAACTATGCAAGAAGAAATTTTACCACCTATACATCCTGATCTTGCTACTTGCTATAACAATATTAGTAAAACATATAGTTCTAAAGGACAATACAAAGTTGCGCTTTCATTCTCTGAAAAAGTTCGCCATATTCGAGAAAAGAATCTTCCATCTAATCATTATTCTCTATCTAGTTGTTACGATCAAATTGCTCTTATTTATGAAAAAATGGGAGAATATTCAACGGCACTTTTGTTTTATGAGAAAGCACTCAATATTACACAAAAATTGGTTCCAAAAAACTATCATGATATAGGTACACAATACAATAATATTGGTATGACATATTATGAAATGAAAGATTATTCAATGGCTTTGTCATATTATAAAAAAAAGCTCTTCAAAATCATAAACAATCTCATTTTGAAGTCTCTTCGAGCGTGGCTACAGTTAACAACAATATGGGTTTAGCCTATAACTTGATGGAAGACCTTTCGAAAGCTCTTCTGTATCACAATACAGCACTTGATATTATTGAAAAGATCTTGCCTTCATCACACCCTAACGT